ATTCCCAGTCACGTCACGCTAAACCTTGGTTGCTTGGTTGGCTTTCATGAGCAGCTCTTGCGACTGTCCTGACCAAAGCCGTTAGAGCCCTCCATGCTGGGAGAGCCCTCTCTGTCCAAGAGCACCTCCGGTCTTCTCACCCAAGGAATCTGCAGCTGCCTTCCATCACTGAAGAGAGTACACTCCAGCCTTTGGCGTGTGTGACCATTTTGTCCATTTCAGGAAATGTCTATACTGTTTCTTAGGTCTTTTTATTTGTTAAAGTTCCAGAGCAGTTTCCAAGATAAAATCATGCCATGAAGCTAATGCATAAAACAGGAATAAAGGAATGACATGCTTCACGAAGGCATCCTGAGGCGCATGCCAAAGAATGGTTTGGTATGAAGAAGCCCGAAGTGGCGGCATGGCCTGTAACGTCTCAGACTACTGCCGGGAACACCCGTTTTGACTGATCCACACTGTAGAAGGGAGGCAGTTCCCATGAGACATGCCCATCGGGGAGGCTGGTTCTAGGCTAAGGCATTTCTGGCTGCACCAGTTTTCCACTGTGCTTCCACAATGGGGGAGCATTTCTGAAGTCCAGTCTGCAGGCATGTGCGCACATGCAGACGCACACTCACATGGAATCCCACAGTACGAGGTTCGTGCATTTGATCACATCAGGGCTGCCCCTTGGGGTCTGCAAAAACCGTCCACCAGGAGAATTGTGTGCTGCATGTGGAAACTCCGGCTGGAACTTCCGGGAAGTCTTAGCTCAGCAGCACAGGTATCAGTGGCTGCTCTGTGGGATTTGTGCTTCTGAGTGCAAGGCGAGGGAACTGGGCTGCACAGCAGGTGCCCTCCAGGTCTGGGCCTGTGGCTGCCTCCCTTTCCAGGGTCCCTGTTGGCACACTGCAGTGTTGAGAAGCGCACCTATTACAAAATCTGGCCGATTCGTGCTTTCCATAACTGGGTTGTTTCATCTGTTAGGGTCTTATTTATCTGGATTTACAGTTGTGGTTTATTTATCTGGATTTACAGTTGTGGTTCTGGAAAAACAAGAGATCTCTTAAATAAGAGCTGCACCAGTCCTGGACCAAAACTCAAGAGGCTTTAGTCCGAAAAATACACTATAAAAATTCAACTTTTATTGCGAGGTACTGAGTGGATTTCTCCATTCAGGCTCTTTCTCGGGGGTTTGTTCTCCAAGGAAGAAGATTAAGCCCATTCTTGCATGGGCATTCGAAGCATCCTCAACGTGTTGATGAGAGCATCTTTCTGTCTACTCTACCTAGGCTGTCTAGCAGTGCTTTCTTTTTCTTCAGCAGCACTGGGGAAGCTTGGAAGTGAACCAGGGGCTTGTATTCTACCCTTGACTTACAGCTCTTTTCAGTGGCAATGTAGAACCACCCTCTCCCCCCCCCCCCCCCCCCCCCCCCCCCCGCCCCGGTGTGTGTTCCATGGGAGTTTACCCCGGAGACCACAAGACGAGAGAACAAGAAGAAAATGAGCAGGTCCCCCTGGAAGTGCTGCTTTCAGACACAGAAGGAAGACAATTCCGTGACAAGAAGGAAGACAAGCATTGCTCAGAAGGAGCTGGTCTTTTCTACCAGGAATGAAGAGCTCTGCAGTCTGAACTTCACAGATCCCGTTGTGTGCAGAAAAAGGGATCCACTGTGTTGCCAGTTGCTCCCAGGGATCCTGCTGGGCACAGAGTTCAAAGGAAGGCGATGCAAATCACCGGCATAGATGGGGAGATGATCCAGTGGAACTGACACAAGGCAGGGCAGGCAGGCCTACTGGTTACACACCCGTCAAAGTGATCCTGATGTTTTTGAGTCATATCTTTCTTTCTTTCATGCGCATTTATCTCCGTAGGGAACGCAACCCTGGCCGGAATTCATGCATGGCATCCCTTCTGCATAGCGGTCTTTGGGCCAAGCCCAATATCCCCAGGCAAATGCAGTGACTTCCACATGGTGTTTAAATTATGCTGTTTCCAAAAGCGTATCTTTCTGTAATTTTTACCAGAATCAGCACACAAAAGCCTCCCAGCTGTACCTTTCTTAACAGGCTTTTAAAGAAGTTTGTTTATTGCGTTTGCTTCTCTTCCCCCCCCCCCCGCCTCCCTGCCTCCCTTTTCTTCCCGTAAAGGAAAAGAGCAAGCGGGTTTGGTTTTGTTTATCCTGCGGTTTCATCTCCCTTGACCTGTGCATTCTTCATTGCTATTGAAAGTTAATGGGGGCAGAATTGCATTCCCAAACATTGGGGCACGAAAGTAGCCAAGGCCCGAACTTAGTTGATCTCTGGTGATCGGTTCAATTTAGTGACCATTTTTAGCCATTAGGCCGGGGTAGAGTGATGGTGATTTGGTGGAGGCCCGCGTGTCTGTGGGAAAATTGGCTCTTTGATAAGAGCCCTGTTATCAGAGGGGGATACTTTCTCATTTACATTTAGATGAGTATTGATTATTTATTTACTCTGAGAAGTGAGATTCGTTCCCAATCTTATCTCTCTCGTCTCTGCTTGTCAGCAGAAAGAGAGATAGAGCTCCTGACATCAGCCCAAGATAACAGCACTTTGTAGCAGAGATAAAAGTTGGAATTGGGCCTTTTTCTCGCCTTGACTGAAAGGATAAGTTTTAAAAATTAGAACTGATGGGTCAGGCTTTCAAAGGCCTTTCTGAAAGCTTTGCAATTTCGCCGGCCAGCAGGATGTCTGTGTCTAATAAGGGTCCAGCTTTTCTCTCTTTTGTTGAGGGAATTGTTTAATTTGGTTATACTTCTCGTCATCAAAGGCAGGGAAGCCTTTTTTATATATAATTTATTTATTCTTTTCTCCGGGTATATCACAAGGCAGAACGGTTAACCTTCACAGGTCATGTTGGTTCTTGTTTTTAAATTTAAAACCTTAATGATCCTTCCCAGCTGTTGGAAAGGGATATTTTAAGCTCTAGGAAGCCAAACTGCCATGAGAACCAAGCAGTGTATGCAACTGGGTTTCATCCAGACCAGTTTTCCTGAAAATGCTCCCCTTCAGAAGCTTTCGGCACAATCCTCAACCTGCAGAGACCATGGTGATGGGAGTTGTATTCCCAACACATCTCAAGAGCACCCGGCTTGGAAAAGCTAGCACAGAAACATGCATTCAAACGTCTGCAGCCCGGCGAGCTGGAAGTTGCAGTTCCGTGTATTTGAAGGGCACCTGGCTTGGGAAAGCGCAGACAGATGTGCTTGTCTAAGCTTCGGCAGCCCCGCAGATGTGGGCACCGGTGGCCGCAGGCTGAATTCCCTGGCCACGCTTCCCAGCAGTGTGAACGAGCGACGTTACGGCTCTCTTTCCACAGCAGTGTGTTGGGGCTCCATTGAAAAGAGATGATCGGGCTGTCGACCGGGGCTGTCGACCGGAGCATCCGGACCCTTTTGTTCCCAGCAGGCTGTGTGCAGCCGTGCAAGGGATGGACAACCTCTGCAGCGCACGCTGAGTGTCCTACATGGACAGAAGCGCAGCACGGTCCCCGTTCGCTTGACGCCAGTGAGGAAGGAAGCGCCCCAAGCTTAAAAGACACCCCATGAAATTTATACTTCTTAGGACTGTGCATTACCAAGCTGCCTAAGGCTCCGACTCAGCTTCTGAGCCAACAGTAGGATACTTGGGGATGGGGGGGCTCCAGGGCTGTGAACAGAGCCACGCACTAGCCCTTTGTGCAGAATCTCCTTGGCAATATGAGTTGCTTTTTGAAAGGGAAAAAAGTTAGGCTGCTTTTGGCTCGGCCAGGTGTAGGTGAGGTTCAGGCGGAACCCTGTGATTTGAATGGTAAGTCCTCCCATTCTTTTTCCAAATCAAACAGACAAGCCCATGTTAAAGTATCAGAGGTGTGCAGATTGATTTTAAAGGTAATCCATTAATCGATGGAGACACAGACTATTCATCATCTCAACTTTCCTTTAACCCCTGGTATCAGTAATCCGTTGTGTTCCGAGCAGAGCTGGGAGCTGGACATCCCCAGCCGCAGACGCCAGGAGAGAGAGGGGCTGTCCTCAGTTTGGGGGGGGGGGCAACAGCTTGTTCTGTTCACAAGCTGCCCCCCACTCCTTCCCTCCCGCCCCGGCCACAGAGAGAGAGCGAGAGAGAGCAGTTTCCATTTTTGTGTGTATTTGGCTGTAGCATCAGTATGAGAATCTCTTGGCTCACGGGTTGTATTTTTCCCCTATTTGACAAAACAAAACTGGCCTTTTGTCCTTCTTCCTGGCCTGAGCTCTTAGGAAGAACACACCCTCTTCTAAGGAGGAGAAGGAACGGGACTGCCTGCTTTGCTCTCAGTTCTGCTTCTCTGCTTTTCCACGCATGGGGTTGTGGGGTTTGTTCTTGCTTTGCTTCATCCTTTCTGCCCCCCCCCCCCCCCGGTGCCTTCCCTTCTATCTCTGCTGCTTTTCTTCATATATTATTTTCAGTGGAGCAGGGGGGAGGTTGCTGGTTTCTCAAAGTTCGGTGGCTTTCTCCATACCTGGAACTAGCAACCTGTGCCATTGCTTGTGGTGCCGGCCGCAGAGGGCATGGGCTGCACTTCCCTCCCTTTTCCACGGCTTGCTGTCTCAGTTGGGTTTAGGCAACATGACAACCCAGATTTCAACCACAACACACACTCGGATCTTGAGGATGGGTTCTGTTGCCTGCACCTAGCTGATGAACTATCCACAGCCCCCAACCCAACAACAGACCATGGTTTCTCTGCATGCGTGCTTTGAAGTTGACAAACCATGGGTCGTGAATGGGGCTGGCTTCGGAAAGGACGACAAGCCATGTTTCAGCTGCCACACAGTTCAACAGCAACCCACGCTCAGTCCTTGAACGTGGATTATCATGTCTGAATGCTGTCAGGAAGTAATTGGACCTGGGCCTTCTGGTGTCCAGGCATGGCCTAATCTGGAACCCTGTTCTACTGCCTTCCCCCCTCCCTTCCCCTCCTGCTTCCCTTTCTAAGCTGAAAGAAGCCCTGTAAATTTATTGTCTGTTTTCAGGCCCTCAGTACCGGCTGGAGAAGCAGAATGAGCCAAACGTCCCTGTTGACTTAGACTGTACCTTGGAAAGCCAGAGCACCTTGGAATTCTGCCTCGTCCGTGAGAACAGTACGTTGGCCCTTGCCCGCCCCCCGCCCGCCCTTCCCTCTCCTTGTGCTCTCGTAAACCACTTAAGCTCACGTAAGTTACGTCCTCTGGATCCAGCTGGGTAAGCGAAGTTGGAAGAGGATCTGTCTGGCGTTTTCTTCTCCCGCACTCTCTTCCTTCCTCTTCCTCCCTCCCCCCCTCCCTCCACAAAGGCAGCTTTCATCCCTGCCAAAAAGACTTCTGTTTCCCAAACGCCAGTGATTGATTTCATACCTTTTCGGTTAAATAGTCTGCACCCTATCACTTCATGATTAATTTGTTTTCTACTAACCTCTGTTCTTGTGAAGTTACATGCCTGTTGTGAGCCGCTCTCCTGCCCCAGCCCTCGGTTGCTCCCCCCACTGCAGAAACGCCCGTGCGAGCATGTTCCAGCTCGCTGCGGCCAGAGGTCAGGACCTGGGCCCCATCCTTTCCTTTCCAGGCCCCAGGCTTCCCTCCGGCTTTTCCCAGCTTCCCCAGAGATCCATAGGAGTAGCGCTCCCAAACCGATCCCTTCTGCTGTTGAGGGACAGAGCTTCGTAGCTGCAACTGCTCCTCCGTCCTGCAAGGTTTTGTACCCTTTGCACACTGTGAGAAGGCAGGTCCCTGCCCCAAGAGGAGTACAGTCTGGAGATCAGTGGGGTGGGGGGAAAGTGGAGACCCACATGCAATTACGCCCATGCCACAGTTTTGCTCTGTGGCAGTAGAACATGAGGACTAAGATGTGGGAGGGGAATCTTTGCCCCCCTGGCTTCCTTCCCTAGCTGGCCAGTGGAGCCTTCATGGATTCTTCCGCAGAATTCTTCAGTCAGAGGTAAGAGTAGGGCACGTGATCGGGGGGACGGGGGACAGGGACTCAGCCCCCAGTCCTCCAGCCCCCAACCCAAGTACAGCGGCTTTGCTAGGTGGCAGCCTCCGTCCATCCTGTCTGCCACTCTTGTCTGGCATAAACAAGCACCCGCAGTGATACTTTAAGCAGCAGTGAAACGGACGCCGTTGGCCTCAATCCATTGGCAGGCCACATCCAAGGCCGTTCGAACCTCACCCGCCGTCTGCTCTGCCCCAGGGAGGGCAACATGCTGCCCCACTCCTCACTTGCCGTCCGGAGCCCCATGAGCCTGGCCCAGGGAGGCACCGGACGCGCATGCCCCGGATCAGCCCTTGGGTTTCTCCATGGTCGAACCCGGGTGTCAGGTTCGACAGTCCAGCTTAGAGAAGTTTCCTTGGAAGTCAGAATCCCCGAGTGTTCGGTAGGACTTGGCCTGCAGCTGCACCGTGTTTGTAACTGATATTCCGATAAAGAATTCCAGTGTGAGACCTACTTATTTTTCAGATGAGGGAGAGTGTGTGTATTCAGTTTCCTTGAATAGAGCCGAACAGATGCTAGTGAAATGCATGCCAAAATTCTCTTTTTGAGTCAATGTGTCCTTTATATTCCAAGGGATTAAGTTAAAAAGAAGACTTTGCGTTAGCACAAACGCACAGCGAGATGTCTCCTTTTCCACCCAGCACTTATTGCTGTCAGGAAGATTAACAAAAACACTTCCCATATTTGGGACTTTTAAAACATACAGTGAGATTTGTATTCCAGTGCCGTTGCCTGCATTTCTTCTTCTTTTCTTTCTCTCTTTTACAAGAAGTCCCCCAACTATTCATGGTTAATTTACTTTTATACTTTCCACCCAGCTTCTGGAAAGTTCCTCGTTCTCATTTCATCATTAGATAGTAATTAGTATTCAAGGGAAATTGGTCTTAATATATTAAAATTGGTTAAGTGCCTTTAGACCTGTACCAAAGCCAATGTCTTATTGGAAAATGTAATTGGGGATGCTGTGTATGTAATTAATTGAATTACAATTAAGAACTTTCATTAAGCAATATACTAGTACATTAAAGTAATAACAGAATGTTTTCGTGGCAGCGGGGCTGCAGAGCAGTTAACCTCGTAGTGTTGTTTTCCTGGGAAAGGAGGAGATGTTCCTTCTCTGATGCTGGAAGTTCCAAAGCCGAAGCTGCTTCCCAACGGATGCCCAAGCGCCCCTTTCCTGGCCCAGCCAGGAAAATGGCGCTGCCTCGGATAACCCTTGTTGCCTGCTCAGTGCAAGTGGCCTTGTGAGGATCCATGGTGGGGGAGGGAGGGAGGACCATGCGGTCCAGCAGCGCAAAGCCTCTTCCATCTTGGGGGCCAGTCTCCATTTTGGGTCTGCCTCCTAGTGGCAGGTGAGGACAAAAGCAACGGGCAGGGAGAAATGATGCCAGCAGAGGTTGGGCCCAAGCTCTTTCTGCCCATGGGAGAAACATTCCAGCAGGAAGGATCGGCCATCCGAAAGAAGGGCATGGGCCTTCCGTGGATCCCCCAAGGGCCAGGTTTGGCTCCCAGGCCAGGGACAAGCCCCACTTCCGAGCTCCTTGGAGAAGGGTGGGGGAAATGCATCCTCTCCCTCCCATCCTCCAGAACCTTCAGGAGAGCAGCGCCCATCGCTGTCCCAGAGTCATCCCCACAAAAGCCCCATGAGGTGGGGCGGGCTGAGGCGCCCAACCGGCTGATCGTCGGCCAGCGAGCTGCATGGCCAAGTGAGGCTCTCAGCCCTGGCCCAGTAAGCAGAGCTCACGGCGGGAGTGGGGAGTCTCTCCCACTAAGCTAAAACCCTCCCAGTGCTCTCACAAGAGGGCAGCCGCTTCCCCGAGCCCCTCCCAGGAACCGCTGGCGAGTCCACAATCGTAGCCGCTTTAGAGAGTAGGCAGGTCCGTTGTGCACACCAAAGAGAAGCCGGCCTCACAGGGGGATCCCTGCTAGGAAAGCCCATGCGGGACCCTCAGCCGAGGGACCCAGCAGGCAGCTGGCCACCGGCGGAGTTTGGGGTTCCAGGGGGCATGCAGGGTGGCGGGAAATCCGCCCCCTTCTCCTGAGCATGGGAAGGGGGCTTCTCTGCCCCAGACCTTGGAGAGCCCCTGGCAGGGCCTCCCCCAAACTAGTGCTTTCTGGGTGTTTGGGATTACAGCTCCCAGCATCCAGGAGCACTGGCCATGCTGGCTGAAGTTAGTAGGGGTTGCAGTCCAAAACCTTCGCAGGGCATCGGGTTGGGGCAGGCTGCCTGGCCAGGTGGAATAATGCCCCATTATACCAGTGCCCCTTGCAGGGGGGGCAGGGGAGCATCTAGAGGGCGTGCTTTCTGTTTTGGAAGGCGAACAAAATTACCAGCCTGTGCTGCCGAAAACCATAACACCCTTTTCCATCCCCTTTCCGCCTAAATGGTGCTGGATGTAAGGGCAGAACGAGTCACTTTTCACGTGAAAGGACACGTGAGCGCAGTTTTGCTGCTGAAAAAGGAGTCCCTGGGTTAAGCACGCCCTCAGAGGTCCTGGCTGTGCGTTGCTCACCCCTCTTTGGCACCCGGGCTCGGGGCAGAAGCGCAGCAGCGGAAACAGAGTCGATTCCACAAGCCTGAAACTTCCTCACACCCCACTGGCAGGAATTTGGTCCGAAAATGCTCTTGAAATAATCTGGAGGCAGTTTGCAGTTGCTGCTGGGGAGGGTGGGGGTGAGTGCCATCGGCTCTGAACTCTTCCCGAGACCCTCCCGCTTCCCACCATAGTCTCTTTGCCACTTGCACTGAAACGGCACGCCGGCGCCTGGTGTTGGCCGGTGGCACTTCCTTGGGATGCTCACGCCGCTGCTCCCGACAAACCAGCTGCTCCTGCCAACACCACGCCTCAGCCGCTGCTTTGAGCCCCGCATTTTCTCTCGCAAGCCACCTTTCTGCTAATTTTGTTCTTGGCGGGTGCTACTTTCGTGGGCTCCAGCCCTCGACTCGGCTGCTGGAGCGTCAACTTCTGTTTATGCCGTTTAAAGGGTCCACCTGTGTCTCGTCGCCTTTCCTGCTCCAGACTGTACAGACGGGGAACAAGCTCTTGATCTCCATTCTTTCCAACGTCTCATTTTTCCAGTCTGCCTTTCAGTTCCTCCCTCCCAAACTTTGGTTTTGTTTTAAGCACATATGAATATCTGAATGCATTTTAGCACGCATTTCTCTCCTGCGTGCAGTTTTGTATGTCATCTCACCCAGTCCTACTCAATGCAGGTTTGAATGTTATTTTCAATAATATTTGTATACCTTTGTGATTTTTTTAAAAAGTGGACATCTGTATTGGGGAATCGGAAGAAGTTGTGAATGTCAGAGGATGGCTGCGTGTTGGTTCCCACACTGTGAGGACTTGGGACCAGTCACCCTCCCCTGTGTTGCTGGATTGCAAATCCCAACATGCTGGCTGGGGAAGGTGAGAGTCGCTGTCCAACAGCCTCCGGAGGACCAAACGTTCCTTTGACGCATCAGCTCGAAGGTGCAGAATGAGGTGTGTGGGCATTAAAATGTGACCCCAACACATTTCTCCCTCCCTCCTGCTGGGCGATGGAGAGTTATGTTTGCGCCTCTGATGTTGCTGCAGAGCCTGCTGATGCCATTTTTATCCCAGCCTTCCTTCCTAAGTGTCCATGGCAGCGTGTGTGGGATCGCAACGAGTTGTTGAGCAGAGAGGGAGTGTCTGGACGGCCCAGCACCATCCAGGGACTCTCTGTCGGCCCCAGTCCATCACTGGTGGGTGCATTTGCTGGCTGCTGGGCGAAAGGTCGGGATTCTGGCTGGCTTTCCAGGGGTTGCTCAAGGAGCCAATGTGGAGCTGTCAGCCTCTCACTCTGGAGGCCTCGGTGCCTTCCATATATGCTAGGGCTGCAGCGTTTGGTCAATGAATGGGTACAGATGAATCCATTTTTATTTTCCCCTTGCGAGGAGCCCAAGGCAGGTTTCATGGTTCTCGTCTCCATTTTGATCCTCACAACAGCCCTGTGAGGCAGGTTAGGCTGGGTGGCCATCAGTGGCCTGCAGCCCCCCCCCCCCCCCAACATCCGTGAGCTTAAGAGATGAGCCAGGAGTTCCAGCCAAGCACTCCAGCCCGCGCTGTTTGCCCTTTCCTCAGTAATGCTCCATCTGCCCGGACCTGGGGCAAGCTGGCCTCCCACCCGCTTGCCCAGCTGGCTGAGAGGCGGGGAAGAGGTCAGCAGTGGGCCTCCCGCTTCCCCTGCGCCCCACCATCCTCGTGGTCCAGTCCAGGCAGAAAGGCGGCCCAACGAGCAGGTCCCAGCAGAGAGGAGGAGCCGCATCAGGGCGGGGGGGCACCATGCCTAGCCTGGCCAGCAGCCCCACCCAAGACAGGGCCAGCCTGCTGCAAGAGCCATGATGAGGCATGGCTTGCCCTGAGCCCCATATCTGACGCCCTGAGCCCCTTCTGTGGGTGCTGCCGGGCCAGAGGCACTTGGGGGGGCGGGTTGGGAAAGGCCCCTTAAAGGCGCAGTGGCGGAGCCTGGCCATGTGACAGGGCTGCGTGGGCAGCCGGGAAAGCTTGCGGTGCGAGTCCGGAGCAGGGCCGGGGCGAGTGTCGCACCGACCCCAGAGGAGCCGTAAGCATCCATCTCGGTCCTGCTCACAGGTGGGAGGGAGCCCGCCATTCCGAAGCGGAAAGCAAGTCGGACGCGTCTCATTTCCTTTACGGAGCCAGAGGCCCTCATGGACTCGGCGTGGCGCGGTGTCGGGGCGTGACATTGTGCCGAGGGGGCCACCCGCCACCGTCTTTGCATCTCAGCTGAGCCCTTTGCGTTCCCTCTCGAGCAGGGTGAGGCGCCATTTCTCCGAGTGCTTCCTCTCCTCTCCTCTCCTCCCCACCCAGCTCCAGCCCCTGATGCTGTCCCCACCGTTGTCCAGGGAAGCCGCAGGCTCCGCAGGGACGCCCGGCTGCAACCCGTGCAGGCCAGTGAGCATCGGCGCCAGCAAAGCGCCGCCCTGCCGTTGGGGGAGAGGCTGGCCCAGCAGGGCTGGCCCTCCCCTGAGGGAGAGCGGGGAGCCACCTCGGGCGGCAGGTGCCCTGAAACTGGCGGCGAGGTGCAGGAGGGCTGCGGGCGCGTCACACCCCGTCCCCTGTGCCGCCGGAGCCAGCCTGCGGCCCCGGCTCTTGTGCGACCCCGCTGCGGGGCCGCCGGCTTTTGTCCCCAGGGCGTGGGGGGAGGCCACCTCCCTGGGGGTCTCAGGCAGCGATGTGCCTGGGGGGCTCCCTGGTGTCCGGGCAGCTCCCTGGAAAAGAGGGATCCGAGCCCCCGGCGGAAGTGCCACTGGCATGGCAGCAGCATGCGGAGGAGAACCTCCTTGGCCGGCCTGGGGGTGGCGCTGCCGTGCGAAGCGGGGGAGGGTCACTCCCCGGCAGGGTGGGAACGTGGGCCAGGTTGCCCCCTGCGTGGGGGGCGGTGTCAGCAGGGGCTGTGGGTGGGGGCTGCCTGTTGCAGGCAAGCCAACTCGTCCAGCGGTAGTCAAGCGATCCCATAAGGGATGTGTTGATCCCTGGGGGGCTGGCTCCCTTTGCGGGGGGTATTGGAGCCCGGCTGACGCTGCACGGGGAAGAGAAGCTGGACGGGTGGAGGGGCGCTGAGAGGCCCCCTGTGGCCCAGTGAGGGGCACCCCTTGGGCCGGCCCCTCCGCAGCCGCGTTGCTGCCCCTTTGTGGTGGGCTGCCTCCAGCCGAAGAGGCGAGGGACGACTCCCACCCTCCCGGGCAGCCCTCCTGTGTGCGGGAAGGGCTTTCAGCTGTCCCTGGCTTCTTTCCCCCCGCCTGCTGACTGCCCCACAGGCCCCACTCCGGCACGTCCTTCCCGTGTGTCCCGGCTCCATGCCAGGGGGCTGTGTCCAGCCCCATTGCTGTTCCGCATTTCCCGTGCTCCTCTTGGCCCAGCAAATCTCCATCTCGGGCTCTTCCCTTTCACGGCGGCTTGTCCGGCATCCTGCCTGGCCCCCAAAGGCGCCTCTGCTGATGCCGTGCTAGGCACAGCCTGGTTTGGTTTTCCGGCCCTGTGCTCCAAGGCGTGCGGGGGGCTGGCTCCAGGCTCGCCGTGATGCTCTACAGTGTTGCCCACCGGGCCAATACTCCGGGGCATTCTGGGAAGTTTCAAAGGTGGCTGAAACCGGGCGCTTGGCACCTGGCACCGTAGCCGGTCCGGGCGGAGACGGGTAGGCAGCGGAGGACGCCTTGCCCAGGGCGTTCCCACCCCCCGCCCCCCGTGTCAGCCACGCTGCTCTCCCTCCCCACGGCCTGGCTCTGCTCCCTTGTGGGGAAGGGCCGTGGTGGATGCCTCCACCCACCCACCCACCCACCCACGCACGGTGCACTGTGATAATGGAGAAAACCAAATCCCAGCCAGTTGTGAAGGGCTGCAGGGCAACCCGGCTGGCTCCCTCCCACCTTCGGGGTGGCTTGGCAGTTTGCAATATCAATTTACGCACCCGGGGATTAGAAGGTCAGAGAGCTTAGAGGCATTACTGCTTTTGAGCCGGTTCCAATAACGTAAAGTCTTGCGCAGAATTAATGTGTAAAAATTGACAAGCCACGTCCCTGTTTTTACTGCCGCTTTTCAGGGCTTCTCTGCTAAAATCCCATCTTCCCATTTATTAAAAAAAATAATTTTCAGTGAAAAAAAATGTTTTCATTAATCTCTCATGGCAAAATTTAAGGCTGCGAAACTGGCAGTTGTTTCGGCTTTTAGGACTACATTAGCTGGCATATTAAACAAAATGTGTCACTCTCACAGTATCTTCTGCAAGAAGCTAAATCAATTTTCTGAGCCATATCCACGCACCACTTTATCTAAAAGCATCTGAATTATCATTTACAGCTAAGATGCTTTATTAGCAGCTGGCATCGAAATTGCTCTGCGGGGAAAAAAATCGCGTGTCATGTTATAGTAATTTTTAAATCGGTGTTAATCCAACATCGTAAAAAAGTTGAACTTTTTTTTTTCATAATTGGCATTTTGGCTTAATGAGATGTTATCTTCTTCCTCTCCCCCTTTGCCCCCCACCTTGGGAAGCCGGCTCAGCGACAGCAAGGAGAACCCAGTGAAGTAAATAATCTCCGTGGTCCCCGGTACAGAATTATGAAGATATTTACTGAGCAAGACCCATGCCCGTCCTTAACAGAAGGCGCACGGGCGCTGGCTTTTGCTGGGAGGATGCCCAGAGGGGTGGGCCGAACCGTTGCGTGCAGCTGGAGATCCACAGCGGCGGCTGCTGGAACGGCGGAGGCCTGTCTCCGTTTGCCGAAGCTCAGCCTGCGGGCAGTCGCGTGGCGAGACCTCTGTGTCAGCCCAGCGCCTGACGATTCTCGCCAGCTCACGGAAGGGGGCACCGTCCCCCCTCCGCAACCGCCATCCCCAGCCCGGGGGCCTCGAGGATTTGCCGGCCGAGGCCAAGAAAGGGGAGTCGCTGGGCAGTATCCCCCTTCTGCGAGCTGCAGAGTTCTCTGGACATTCTGGGGAGTGGGAATGCAGCCGGCGCCAGGGCTTCCTGGCCAGCCACCCTGGCCGTGGGCCTGCTGGAGTGGGGCCGGGGCCCTCTCAGTCTCTCTGGACTCAAATTCCCATCACCCTCGGCCAGTATGGCCCGAGATCAGAGGTGATAGGTTCTCTCTTATTAACATCATGATTGTTAATAATACAAATACATGGCTAACAAGGAGTAGGATAAAGGAGGCCGCTGATGCCTAGATTCTCTGCTATTGTTGTTATTTTTAATTAGATTTAGATCCTAATATTTATTCATTTGACTTCTCCTTAACTCAAAGCAGCTTATACCATTCTGGTGCTGCTGCTCTCTTATCCCACCGTAGCAACAACCCTGCAAGGTAGGCTGGGCCAAGAGTCTGTGACTGGCCCCAGGTCTCCCACTTGGCTCCATGACCAAGTGGGGACTAGAACCCGGGTCGCCTGAGTCCCAGCCCCACACGCTTAACCACTACACCGCACTGGCTCTCTTTCACGCTTCTCATTTTATTTGATTGTTCGGTTTGTTTTCACTGTTATCGTAAGTTATCCTGTCAGCTCATTTTCTTTTTATGAACGTTGAAAACTATTTTCAATAAATAGGCATGCCCGTGTGACTGATGAGTGCATCAGTCGGAATCCTCTCTAATTTCACTGAACTCAGGTTGCACCAAAGCACTCAGTCCAATCAGATCCTCCGAGATCCAAACAGAGCTTGATTTCATTTCCACCCCAAGTACACCTGCTCATCTGCTTCACAGTTCTGCTCATGGCTTCGGCTTCTTTGGGTCTCCAGCAGGGTGCCCACAGGCTCCAGAGCTCCCCCAGGCCCCCCAGGCTCTCATCCCCCCGATTTTCACTGGATTTGTCAAGATGTTGTTTTTCAGACTTGGAGCAGCCGCCTCTGCCGAGGCGCCAAAGAACGCTCCTACATTGCACAGCTCAGCTCGGCACCGAACTCTGCCATGTACCTGGGTCCTTGGCCCCGTGGCTCCCAGTTCGCCTTCTAGGAAGGAGGTGCCTCATGACCGTTCCTGCCCCCTATCACAGCCATTTTAGGACTGGCAGCCATTTTGTGAGAGCGCCCACAACACTGTCTGAACCCTCCCAGTGTGAGGAACATTGTCGACTCATGCTTTAGTTGCAGTCTCTTGACCTTTTTTCCCTGTGGTCATCTTCTTTTTGGCCTAGGTTCAAGAGGAGAGGAGGTCTCCGAGGAGGATCCGCAGATCGACATCGCGACGGTTCAAGACATGCTCAGCAGCCATCATTATAAGACCTTCAAAGTCAGTGTGATCCACAGGCTTCGGTTCACGACGGATGTCCAGTTAGGTAAGTCCACCTGCACACCCCCTGCCCATGGGGACGAGTGCCCGCCCTTTCCCACAGCCTTCCCGCTTCCCAGTGCCTTCCACACAGGGCACTGGTGTGAGCTGTGCTTGGAAGGATTCCCTGGCACCAAGTCACCCATGGCCGCGTGGGACTCGAACCCAGATCTCCTGGGTCTCTGTCCAGCAATTTCACCTCTGGGCTGGCATTTCCATCCCCAGCCAAGCTGGGACTGCCGCATTGGAAGACTTAAACGTCTGGAAGGCACCAGCTTACCCGAAGGCTACAGCAGGGATGCCCTATTTTATCGAGAACATAAACCCTCACCGCCCCTTTGTACTTATCTTCCCAGTTTCCTGGTAAATTGTTGGGTTTCAGGTACAGCTGAAGGCACCTTGCAAAAAGGTGACAGCTGAAATCTCAGTCTGAATAATTTGCAGAATCCAGACCGGTTGCAGAATCCATCTGCCTATTTTAGTCAAATCTTTCCTTTATTTGGGAGTTTAGCCGGCACCTTCTCCAGGGCTGAGCTGATGCCAGCGCAAGGCAGATTTATTTCCCAGAAAGTTACATCCACTTGGAGGCTTTCTTTTATTTCTTATTTTTCTCCTTTCTGTTTTTTATTGCACTGTCTTGTTAGGGAAGGATTTATATGCTGGTGCTGACGGAGGGCAGCGTTCGGCGTGTTTTCTGCTCTTGAGCAAACTATCTGGGGTGATAGTTTCCTTCCAGGGAAGTTTGACTCACTTGTATCTGGAAGCTGTCAGAAATAAGAGCCTGAAAAGGTCGTGACAGATCACTAAAGATAAATGGCGAACACAGAGAGACTGTTCGGAGAGACAAATAGCTGCTTCAGAGTGAAGGGACAAAACCTTGCCCAGCCGTGGAGGGGCCATCGCGCGGTTTATCTCTCCCCCAACTTCCATCTTTAAACCTTCATGTGTGTTAACTCTGCCGCTCTCCTTTGTGATGGGTTTATGAAAGAAGCCCCATCCTAGCCATTAACCCTTCCCCGCGCGCGTGCACCTGAAGCTTTAAGAGGCCGTTCTGGCAGGCCCGTTCCTCTCCCGCAGGGACAGGAGTTGGATGTTGGTGCTGCAGGCCCTGCGCCCAAAAACCCGAGTCAGAATCGCTGCAGGTTCTCCCCGCTTCGCCATTCGTGTCTGGGAACGATCCCGCAGGGGATTTGCACACGGACGCAGCCGGCACAGGGCCTCCCTCAGAGTATCGGGGTGTCCTTCCACCACTCCCACACACGCACCTCGACCCAGTTCATGGTTTTCTTTTCTGCCTGGCACTTTGCATCCCACAGTTCCCTGAGCGTTCACCGTCCTCACTGGGCTGTTTCTTCGGCAGCAGGAAAGAGGCACGGTATACCTCTGCAAAACTTGGGATTCCCCCACACGTTCCGTGGCCTCCATTTTGTTCTCGCTTGTCCCCGTTTTGTCCCCTGCCCTTTGGCGTGCAACTCCTGCACGGGCTCCGGAGGGGATGGGGTGCGGGGGCGTGGCCAGTGACACCTGGATGCGCATCTTTCCCAGTCCTGCTGCTGCCTCACAGTCTGTGCAGCGTCTCCCGTGTGTTTGGTGCCGCCCCCCAGAGCTGCTGCATGGTTCTGCACCCGCCGTTCTGCCCAGACGGCTCCTTGTGGTTCTCCCCTGTGGCAGCCGGGTCCTTTCCAAATACTCTGGGGGGCAGCTCGCATCCCCCCGGCAGTGGCTCCTGCTCCCGGGCCGCACAGGCCCAGGCACCCGGCGATCGGGAAACAGGCCTCACGCTTCCAAGCCTCGGCATGTGCCGTGGGAGCACTTCCTCCACCGTTTCTCCTATGTGCAGGCTCCTTGGGGCAGGGCACTGAATGAGGCTGCCGCCCGGATGGGGCGCAGGTGACAGGAGAGGGTTGTGCGGATGCTTCAGAGCAGAGCAAAAGCCGCCGTTGCTTCTGCGCGGCCTGCAACCCGGCGCATCAAATGCCAAGCCGGGGGTGGGGACGGCGGCCACGGTGCGAGAGCAGGGACCGCGCTGACAAAGGACGCAGTCCCGCGGAGGCGCGTGTGAGCGAGCAGGTGCGGGCGATGCAGCGATACGGGCGTAATGGATGGGGGTGCACGGCAACAATTTGCAGATAAAAATAATAGGAAGTTTAAAGTGCGTTTTACATGATAAAAGGAAGATGAAAGGGGGTGCAGAAAGGGGAGGCTGCTACATCCGAGATAGCTCGGCCTCTCTCTCTCGCGCGCGCGCGCGAAGTAGCCTCCGCAGGAAAAGATTGATGCAACAAGAAGTGACCTTGGCTGGGAGCAGGAGCCGGTGATGTATGTATGAGCATCCCTCGGCTAAATGGACCCAGATTTGTAGTGCTAATATACATGGAAGCCCAGAACCAGGCTCAGGATGGCAATAAATCAACAGCCACTTTGGGTGTCATTTCTGGTTTATATTCCACTATTGTTCTATCACTTTAATTCATGTCACTATCATCTGTTCATCTGGAACAGTTTTATATAATTTTCCAGTGGAGTTACCTGACAAATCCTATCAAATTAACACGGGTACATTAACAATATTGACTCCGCTGTTGTGAATTCTTGGAGTAGCACCGAATGAAATGTATTTTCGTTTTCCTTTCTTCTCTACCGTAGTCTTTTTGTGAAGGGAAGAAAAGACCCACAGGGGCAATTTGTATTTGTTTTTAATCTATGGAAGGTGGGGGAGCGATCTGGTTTATTTCCATTACAAAGGTTTTGTGTGTTTTCATTCCGCGCCGCCCGTCTTGGGCCTCTGCCGAGCAAAATGGCAAAGAAGTTTTTAACGTCAGGGCAACAGCTGCTGGTAATATTTTCAGAGGAGCGATATGTAGATTTTGGACAGCTAACGATCAGGCTGCCTAGAGTGAAATGTTCTAATAAAGAAGCTCTCTCCTGATGGAGAACCGGGCTTTCTCGTGTGATCTCTGCGCTCCTGGCCTCCTTTCTGCGCTGTCGACACGGCACGTAATTGAAATATGGTATCTCAGGTGGGTGGGTGCCGTGTGACAAATTGTGCCGCTTGATTAATTGAAATGCGCGCCTTTGCTCGCTGCCTCCGCCGCAGTGGTCAGCCTCCAAATGAGAGTTATGCTACATTTGGTGCCCGCAGGAGCTTAAGGTTAACACAATGTGCACGCAGGTCACCTGCTCGCCGTGCCTCCAGCTTCCCTTCGTCTGGCGGCGGCTGTTGCGAACCAGCGGGCTTGAGGGAGTGGGTTGCCGGGGGCTGCGGTGGCTGGTGCTTCTTCGATCCCAGGGTGCCTCCCGGCCCCAGCTTGGACTGAGCATGTCTCAGACCCAACTTGCAGGGGTGGGCTCCACCTGAGCAGGCCAGCCAGCCAGCAGTGGAAATCACGTGCCATCTCCAGAGCCGAGAAGGAAGAAAGGGGCCACCCTGGCCCTCAGGACCAAGCAGCCACCCGTGGTGTGCTGCTTGGTGCCGTCCAGTAATTCTAGCAGTCCTCCAGGCCGTCCTGTCCTCCACCGTCCCCCGGAGTCCACTTAAGCTCACACCCACCGCCCCAGTGACTCCATCCGGCCACCTCATCCTCTGCCGTCCCCTTCTTCTCTTGCCATCAGTCGTTCCCAGCATCAGGCTCTTCTCCAGGGAGTCCTTCCTTCTCATTAGGTGGCCAAAGTATCTGAGCTTCATCTTCAGCATCTGGCCTTCTGAAGAGCAGTCGAGGTTGATCTCCTCTCGGACTGACCGGTTTGATCTCCTTGCGGTCCAGAGATTTTGAGGGATTTGGCTCCAGGCAAGGCCTTGAGCAAGATGCTCCCTTTTTCAGCTCAGAGGCTTTGGAGAGGGCAAAGCACTGCTCGGGGCAGGAACCAAGCCTCGCCTCAAGAACAGCCCTGATCCTCCCCACACCTCACAAGAGAGAGAAAGGTTTGGATTCATGGATGGCCATGGCATGAAGTGAAGGGAAGGAGCAGCTTCGGTGCACCCAGCCACGTCCCCCTCAGACACATGGAGCCGCCTCCTGCTGACCCTGCCCACTGGCCCAGCTGGGTCGGCATGTGCCGCCAGGAGCACTCCAGGGCCTCTGGAAGAGGCATCTCGCCTCACTTGCTGCTGAAGATCGGGCCAAGGCCTTTGCTCCGCCAAGGAGCCCTGCTTGCATGCGAGGGTTTCCCGGTTCAGTCCTCGGAATCTCCAGGTGGGGCTGGAGAGCCCGCTGGTCGGTCTGAGGCAGACCCCGAGTCCCTCAGCTTGCATTTAAAGCTTGCCCTGGACCAGCGATCCAGTGTCTGTGTGGAAGGCCTCTTGGCATTCAAGGAAATGGATGCCAGTCCATACAAGCCGCAAGGAGCACTGGTCCTGCAGAAAATGCAGGCTCCGTGGTTGGGCTGCTTAGAGTAGACCTGGAGCAAGCTGCACGGCCCCCGCAATCACCAGGACACCCCCAGCCCCCTTGCCTGGCCTCTGTGAAGGTTTTTCTTTAATATATTCCTGTTTTATCAGCAACTGGAATTGCTGCCAAATATTGTGCTGACATCGGCGGGTTCGAAGCAGTTGTCTGTACTCTCCTTGGGGCAGCTTCTTTGCCCTCTGGGAGTTGCCACGTCTCCCGTGGCAGCCATTTTGTGGGGGGACACAGGCGGTCTCTCTTCTCTAGAGTGGCCAGCGCCAGCATAAATTCAAAGGACCAGTTGAGGTCGTCTTTTGGATTTGGGGCCAGGGGAAGAAAATGGCTTTCCCAAATGGGTAACGTTTTATTTATTTTTAATAAGCTCACAAATTTTCTAGAATTCCTTGTTACGGGATAATTCTGAGGCAGTTGAATGGAACATCCTGTTACTGACCAAGCAGAACATGTGATAGGCGACCACAGAGAATCCGATAGAGGTGCCTTTTGATGGAGTCTGCTAACTGGACGTATAACTCCCTCCAGTTTCAAAATGAGGGGGATTATTGTTATCTGGCCAAACAACGCCAGCTATGAAGAAGAGGGAGTGCTTGGCAGGTCCCCAAGGTATGCAGAGATAGAAGAAGTCCTGGAGGAAGGAAAATGGAAAAACGGAAAGCAGGCCAATCCCAAACTCTGCCACAAAGGCTGGACACGGCTGGGTCTGTGTGCACGGCATCCTGGTTTCATCCCATTCCCTTCACCACCCCGACTGGCACACCGAAAGCTGTTGGAGATGTGACTTCCAGGGGCTCAGCCCCCCTTCGTTCCAGTGAGCAGAAGCCCCTTCCCTGGCATCCCCCAGCCAGCACTGAAACAAAAGGCAAACATGGAGGGCGGTCTTGCTCTGGAGCGCCAAAGCCCACAAAAGCTGTAAGCCGTCCCGAGGTATATATTCAGGACGGCATACAAAAGTTTTTAATAAATAATAAAATAAATAAAAGCAATGCAGTGCCTTGGAGGTGCCCGACAGGAAAAGGCTGTGCGTAGGTTCCCGGGCATGTATTAACCTTTCACTCTTGTTTTGTTTCTTTAAAAATTTCCCACATTCTGTGAGAAGCACCTTTTACAAAATGGAAGTACCATTTGCAAAACATCCCCAGGACGCCATCTCTTGCTCGGGTCACGGCATCAGCTCCACAGGCTGGAGAGATGGCTGCGTGTTCCAGTTCCTCCTTTGCTACCATATTAAAACAAAGCAAAACCAAAACCAAACTCTTGTCCAATAAATACTGCGGGTACAAAATGTATTTCTTCTGCAGAGAAGAAAGTAAAAGTGCTAATCCCTGGTGGGGACTGGAAGCCCCTATCAAATATGAAGCCAAACCATCTCTGAAGGAGGAGGATACATATTTCTATCAAACTTGGAATTCTTTTTATTATTGGCTAGAGAAACGGGACTATGCGTAGATCTGAATATGGCTATGGATTGTTATAAAAAAAATGGGGGGCTGACCCAGTATGTCCGATGTCTTTGATGACTGATCCTTTTAGTTTTTTAGTTTGTAGAAAATAATAATAATAAAATTTATTTAAGAAAAAAAAAAACGAATATGAAGCCAAACCAAATGTGACGGTCAGGGCTTTTCGGCAGGGTTGTCCCTATCTCAATAATTGTGTCTCCCCCTGTGAATTTGCCCAGGCACAGCAAACCAAGGGACTGTAAATGACAGGGCCTCCTTCGTGCTGGCACTCCAGATTTGGAGCGGCCTCCAGGGCAAGAGTGGCCTTTGCAGCCAGCAATGACCACTGGATTTTGTTTTTCCAGATCCTGTTTTTAACTGAGATTTGCTGCTGGTTTTCAACTTTTGATTGGTGTTTTTAGACTACAGAGTTGATGTAGTTTTTCACTGTTGCTTTTTTAGCTGTTACAGTTTTTAATCGTATATTATCTGTCTTTTCCCCCACATCACCAGGACCAATTGAGCATTTCTTTGGAAATGTTCAAAGAAACATTCCGAACCCTGTTCAGGGTTTTTGTTTTAGGTAGACCGAATCCTTTTGTCGTCGTTTTTGTTAAAAGGCGAGGAATGCCTTTCCTTTTCTGGCACTCTGCATGGGGGTAAAGCTCTGAATCAGGCCCATTGTGTATGAAGTAACTGGCACTTTTTCAAAGGAAGAGCCATGTTCATCTCTTGCAGCAAATTTGATTTTACCACAAGAACCTTAATGGGTTGTTTGTCATTTTTCACATTTTTATGTTTTTATATTCAATCAAATTTGCCAAATACTGGGGTGGTGGCCGATAGATTTAAAGCTTTCTTAATTCCATTTGTTTAGAATCTCACAGTATTATTAAAAAAAAATAAACAAAAGGACAGCGAAGGTTCTCTCTGCGTTTGCTTTCTTTTCTTTTTTTCCTTCCCCCCTTTTCCCCTTATTTTTTTGGGGTGGGGGGGATTTAAACAAAGAAAAAGCCTTCCCAGCTTGGTATTTTTAAATACTCCATATTCCTTTTGCCTATTTCAGTGTGACCTTGACCTATAACTCATGACCTGAAAATGTAATTACTTTTAAGTCTTCCCTGCACAGCTGCCACTATGAAAAAGTATATAGAGAGGTTTGGTCACTCATGTCAGAGGAGAAACCTTGTAATTGTAAGTTAAGCAATGAGATGCTGTCTATTTCTGCTCCGCACGGCAAGGTTGTTGCTTTGGAGGAGAAGCGGGAGAGGGGGGAACATAATGGAATCTGTTATAAATTACGAAACCTCTCCTATGTTGGATTAACTTCTTAGTTTGCTCCTTTGGCATCTTGGATGAGTGGAATGGCTCTTCAGATCTTTTTTTTTTCTTCTTAATTATTTTCTGGTCCCCCCCTTTTCTTTCTTTTTTGCTCACTCGCCAGTGAAATTCAGTGTGATGATCATGCAGCACCCCTTCTTCCGCTCACATGCCAGAGACTTGCAGCTGAGTTTTAACATGCAGTAACATTAGGACTCAGCATGTTTACCAGGCAGTCATAACCTCTGTGCGCCTTCCTTCTTGTCTCCACACCAGCTTCACATGTTACAGGAGCGGTACAGAAAGAAGCCATGGCAAAACTGGGGGGGGGGGGTGGCAGGGGGGCTATGTTGCCGTGCTCTCAGTATTGAGGGGGAGGCCCTTTATACATGTTCAGAGGCGCTGTTTATTGGTTGGTTGGCTGGTTGGAGTGAGTTGCTGATTCCAGTTTGAACCCTTCCTGTGTAATCACGCTAGGGCTTGGAGACCAGGGGGCAGCTTGGACCGCGGGAAGTTCCTCTTCGTCACCAAAAGTGCCTTCCAGCAAATGCAAGAGATGCTTCAGTCCTTAGCGTTTTTCTGGTATTCATAATGGGCAAGCGGTCATACCAAGACAGACAGACAGACAGATGTTTGTGCCAGGGGTGTAAGTTACCCTCCTTATTCGAAGACTTGCTGCTGGGTTGTGGCTTCTTACGCCTTTGATTTCCTCTGGCTGTGCAGGTATTTCAGGAGACAAGGTAGAAGTGGATCCCGTGACAAATCAGAAAGGCAGCACCAAGTTCTGGATTAAGCAGAAGCCCATCTCCATCGACTGTGAGCTGCTGTGCACCTGCGACCTTGTGGAAGAAAAGAGCCCAAGTAAGCATCCCACCTCTCTTTCCACACTTGCTTCTCTTCCCAGACCGCCCCCCTCCCCGCCGCACAAGGAGCCAAATTCCAGGAAGCAGAGTCTCCCCCCATGCCTTCCTCGTAGTGGCTGAACTCCGCCTGCCAAACGCCAGCCCCGATAAGGTCTGGAAGTTCGGGCTCATGCTTTGCTGGCTCTCCAACAGCTACAGATCCCATGTTGCCCGGGGCTGGGAGAGGGGCCCTGGGACAAGACCATTCAGCGGCTAGCAGGCCTTCTTCTTCGTCCTGTGTTGCACCACAGCACCTCTGCTGGGCAAATGTTGAATCGCATCCCAGAATCCCCCAGGAGGGATGCGCAAGCGAGCAGGCGAGCCCCCTGGGGGCCAAAGCACACATTCTGTAGCTCTCATTTCTGCTTTGAGGGCTGCCCCCTGGGATGTATTATTGGAAGGGGGGTGAGGGTGTTGCTCCTCTCTGCACCAGCAGCCTGGCCACAACTGCCCGCCCCAAGCAGGGTTCCTTGGGTAGGATCGAGATCCTTCCCCCGAGCCAAGAAAGCAGCGCTGGGATCCATTTTCACGGGGGTGCTGCACAAGCAGTACCGCCTTCCTTCCCGTGCACCACACCCCCAGTTCTGATCCGCATTCAGCTGAGTGTGACTTAGAATAAACACCAAACTCATGTTCTGGAGTCTTTCCAGAGTGCCTTTGGAAGTGTAAGAAGCGCCTCCAGACAAGGAAGCGTCAGAAAAAGGTTCACTTTTGTTGATCAGTGTATTTATTTCATGCATTTTCCCCTCTGCTCAGTGAGAGAACCTCCAGGAGTGGCTTGCATATAATCAGTAATTAAAAAAAAAAAAGTCAGCTTCTGCCTTCAGGCTTACCATCTAGAAAACCGTGACACTCGAGGGGAAAGGAATGGGGAGGGAAGAGGAAGCATCCCAGTCTTTCTCAGGCTGCTTCCCTGCTCCTCTCACTCAGTACCGGCTGCTTTGATTGAGTGGAGTAACTTGCAGCACTGGACGTGCATCCTCTGGGGGGGTGGCGGGCGGGGGGGGGGGAGGCAGGGAGAGGCAGATGCTCCAACTGATCGCAAGCAATGTACAAGCCTTGGCAGTTGTTCTGCAAGAAGGTGGCTAAGCACAGAGAGGACAGAGGTCTTCAGAGCTGAGACTAAGGGGAGGAAAATGGAGCAAGGCTGTATGCGTTGTGGTCCCAACCCCAAAGGCACTTTCTGTCTAGGTTCTCCTCTCCTGATACCGGATGGACAGTAGAAAGTCCTTCTTCACAATTCATTTCATTTTCAACTTGGAGAATTTCTCCCGTCTCAACTTTGATTGATCCCAAACACTGTGAATTCTTTGTTTTAAGTGTTGCATGAAAAAACATAAACATTTTTGTTTACATACCTCCTGATGAATGAAACGTAGAAACAGAGCGAGTCAGAAGGGGTCTCCCGGGCCATCTAGTCTGACCCCTGGCTCCAGCCGGCTTTGCTCATGACATGCCCACCATGTGCACGTCTATGAATGGTCATATGATTTTGTTTGCCGGTTATGCTCATGCTTAGCTAGGAAGTATCCAAATGTAAATGCATCTTTGACCCATATCTTCCCAAACAGCTGCATTTTGAGGGGAGAAATTTGGGGATGGAAAGATTCCATTGCAGTGTTCAGAAAAATGCAAATGTTGGAACATAAACATAAATGTTGGAGTCAGGGTTCAGGTTATGGTTGGTGGTGTGAAAGGGCAGAATTTATTTTTTATCTATTTTATTTAAAATATTTATACCCCACCCTATATGCAAAAGCATCTCAGGGCAGCTTACAAAAATCAAAAACAAATAATCTAACAGGTTAACAATAATTAAATAAATGATTAAATATACACATAGAACCAGTGACATTTCACACATAAAGGGAAATCCAAAGAAAATCAAAAACAAGACTAGGAACACAATCAGAATTACGCAACTTCGCACTGAAATGCAAACTGAACTAAGTCTTCTTCCCCATCTCTGATTCTGAAGGAGCAGTTTGAGCAGCTGTAATGGGAAAAGGCTGTTTGCTTCTACTGGTCTTCCAGGAGGTACCCGATTGGCCCCTGTGGGAGCAGCAAAACTCATCCTGGCTTGCACGTTTTTGTCAAGTCCTTGTATGGAAGGTGCTGGGTGGGAAGGGAATTCGGAGAAACGCGAGGCTTGTGATGTGTGTGTGACCAGTTGGTCGTCTTGTTGTGCAGGTATTTGAAAGACATTGGTGAAAATGGGATTAAAAGGAGTCCAACCCACCAGCCTAAAATGTGACTTTGTATATGACACGTAATTGATATCTGTTTTTAATGCATATTGTTATTGTGGATATGGAAATGGAGAGGTGGCTCATAAATAACAATTGGGGGAGAGATGTGGAGAGCCCCCACCCCTGCAAAGCGCTCCCAAGCGCTTCCCGCTACGCAACCCTTAATGCTGCTCTCCAAATATCCAGAACCTGGTGCAGTTTCTTCTGAAGCTCTTTAGCTCCCACAGGTGGTCTTGGTGAATCAGTCCACGCCGTTCCAAGAATTGTTCATAAAACGGGCTCCTTTCCTCCCAGCCCACCCCATATAACTCTTGGGAGGCTTCGTTATTCACTAGGCCACTAGCCCCGCGCTGTTTGGACCCCCAAACCACTCCCCACTGAGACCTTTTTGGCTCCTTCTGCAACTTGAAATGGCAGGCAGCTCTCTGCGGATCTTGGAGCAAAGTCTGTGTGTTGCACGGTGCTTGGAAAGGACGTCGCACTTTGCCGTACTGAACACAGGAGGGCAAAGAGCATCCGGCTCGAGCACCCTGTGGGGATTTACGGCGAGGGTCCTGATCCAGAAGCAGTGATCCTAGAGGCAGGGAGGAGGGTCCTTTTCCTCCGCAGAAACACCAAAGTGGAGGTGCATCCATCCTGTGGCAGTCGCTCTTGGCTGCTCCTCAAAGGCCTCCAGGCTTTTGAAATTAAAAACATGTGTTTCGCCGTCCACGTCCTCCGCTTGCCGGCATTCCTTGGCGCTGTCCCGTCGTGCATCGCAGTAGCTTTGCCCGCACATTCCTGGGGTTTTCTTCAACGAATCACTTTTGAACTTTGAAGCCGGGGAAGGAACACTCATATTTGGGTGCAGGAAGGAATGACGCTTTCTTCAGAGCCCTGCGATCTTATCAGCAAAGTGATGTATGCTTGTAGCAGAGTTTACATCAAAAATTATTCCTGGGGCTTCCTTGAGATGAATTATGGCAGCCAGAGCCAAGCTGAGGGGAGATAAGGGTTTTTGAGTCCTGCAATATATTTTGTTTCCGTGTTTTTATCTCTTGTAACACAACCATCCTCCATCTAGTCTTTCCGAGGTGCGCCGGAACATGTCACAAACGGATGGTTATGCGGTTCCGCCGTGCGCAGACGCCTGTGCTCTTTCATTAAAGACAGACGCGTCCTCTGAAGGCCTTAACTTGTGAGTCGGAAAACAAGCATGTGCTCCAGCACTGCTTTGTGCCTCGACACAAGAGAGCGGCCTTCAACAGCCCCCCACCCCCCGGGGGGGGGGTGCTGCCAAGCCTTGGACACATTTGGCGAGTGCAGTTCAGTTCAAGGCGGAGCTGGGAGCTGAGCCAGCACTCAAAACGGCCTTGCACCCCCAGTTTGCTGCCCCAACGGAACCCTACTTGGCTGCAGTTCCCACATTGTGATGCTCTTGTTGGCCTGGATCGGCACGGGGGCTCCGGTCTCCCACTTACACTGGGCTAAATACCCCTGAGATGCGCCATTCCCAGATCAATTCTTGTGACACTGGGACCCAGAATGGTGGGTTGCAGGAAGAGAAACCCAGACTCCTATCCGTGCTTTGTTCTTGATACACACGTCTGGCTCGTCCCTTCCCAAACAACCCACAATTCTGGTGCAAGGTCACAATACATACCCTGGGAAAAGGCTGCATTCACCGGCTCCACCCAGCTGCAGCAGTCAGGGATAACAACTCGCTTTCCCAGGCCCGTTTTCTTTTGCCACTCAACAATTTAACAAACGATGGTTTGTTGCAAGTGGTGATCCATGTCCATGTTGTCTGGTTAAGACGCTTCTGAAGAGGAGGAAGGTCTTGTAGTGTCCCAGCTCCCCGCCAGCTTCCCCTGCTTACAGGCCATTGGAAATATTCCCAGAATTTTGGTTCGGAAGAAGTCTAGCTCTTGTTCCAAGTCCGCTGCATTTCAGAATGGTTTCTGCTCAGTTTCACAGAGGCCTCGGCCACCTGGTCGTGCTGGGATTCTTTCTGGTTCTCACTGGCCTTTGCTGTTCCGAAATAGCTGAAAATATTCACACCTTTCGCTCTAGGCTGGCTCAGGTTCTGAATCTTTATTTGCCAAATAAATCTGGCTGCTTGAACTCAGACACTGGGAGAAGCACTAATGGGGCTTCCTAGTAAAATCTCAGGCCCATTAGAATCTTGCAAACACCATATCTATAAAGTGCTTGTTTAAATCAGCCGCCATCTGATTATCACAAAAGATTTTGCAGGTTCTGAATCTTGAGGGGAAGCGGCCTGTCGTTAAGAAAGAAGATTTAAGCCTTAATAAAGGAGCTGCCATTTTTATAGCCAAAAAAGAGCCCTGTATCTCAATTAAGCGTACATAATATAAAGTCTTAAGGAAGCAACGTAGTAAGCGTAATGCGATTATGTCCTCTGGCAATGGTGTAATTTAAAGAAAATCTGATTCTCTTAATGTCTCCTTACATTGTTTGGGAAGAAGACGGGTCGGGAGCCAGTTCTGCGCACTGCTCCCCGGTTTAGAAAAAGCACCCCACGGATGGGCCGTGGCTGCGGGAAGGTGCGCTGGTGTCATCCCGCTGGAAGGCTGGGGCCTCCGAGTGAGTACAAGACTCCAGCACATCCTTTCCCTTGGCTCGGCGCTCCTTCCCTGTGACAAATGTGCAGCCTCCACCTCGGAAGGGCTCTGTTTCCCTTCAATCCCGGAGCGCCGCAAGAACGTAA